ACCGCGGTCGGTCGGGGCCCAGGGGCGCGGCGCCGCCGTCGCGCCCCAGTCGGCGGCGTCGCCCTCGCCAGGCGGCGGAGGCACGCGGGGCGGCCCCAGCACCTCCGCCACCGCCATCGGGCGCCCAACCTCCGCTGTGACCGCCTCCGTAGCCGGCGGCGCGCCCGTGCCGGGCGGGTCAATGCCCACGCCCGCGCCCTCGGGGGAGCGCCGCAGGGCCAGCTCTCCGCCCTCGGAAGAGACAGCACCCCTGTTGAGCCTCGCCGCCTTCGTGACCGCCTCGCACTTGTCGATGCCGTCGTGCTTGGCCACGCACTTGGAGCAGGTGTAGACATGCTGACCTCCCCCCCTGCCCTGCCCCAGCTCAGGGTGCCTGGGGCTATCCCCCCGCGCCGCCACATAGCGGGCCAGCTCGGCCCTCGTCAGCTCGTCGACGCACTCTGCCCTCATGACTCACCTATGATTTGTCCCCAGGATGGCTGAGTGAGAAAAGAGATTTGCATTCTGGATGAGGCCACTGACCAACGAAACATCTTGAGGACACCTCTCCAAACCCGAATCGAAGGACCCAAACCTGGCCGACAACGAAAGAGGAAACTCCGACCCCCCCCCCCCCTGCGGATTGGCATTGCGGCGGCGTTTTTCTGTCCGCGATCGAGTGCGTGCGGAACATGGCGACCGTTGTTAGCATTGACTGGCAATGGGAAGCGCCCCGAAACCCACGCGGGGGAACGCCTGCGGGAACCTCCAGGGACCTTCCATGGAAGTCTTCCCAGGGGCACGCCACCCGCAAATCCGCCAGGAAACCCGCTGGACGTAATGAAAGGGGCCGCCCCAAAAACATGACCAGGCGTCTCCCCAAGATAACTTCCCCGTGGTGCGCGCGGCGCGGCCTGCAAAATCACGCGCAGGAGCCCCTCCGACAATTTATCAAGGCCCGCCCGCCCTCGCGCGCGGCGGCGCAGTTTCGCAGCCACGTCCGACAGCGCGCCTGCCCGAATGGCCAGGACATGCCAAGTCGCGGCCAAATAGCGCAGCGAACCGATCTCAAAACGAAATCGGCAAGCCACAGAAGCAACAAATAATCAAAGCGCCGAGGAAACCGTTACACGCCGCAAAGGACCCCAGAATCCACAAAGCCAAACAGACACGGGCGAGCGGAAATGGCGAAAACTCCCACCAGCGAGGCTGACGGAAGCCAGAAGGGGCAGGGGGTGGCAATGGTTGCGGCCATGGCGGGAAAACTCCCCCCACGACACCTGCGCGCCCAACCGGCGAGTTTCGTAACTAAGGTCGGCCAACTAAGAAACAATTTGCCTACCCAGTGAGGCAAAGCATGAACATTCGCCTACGCATTCTTAGCGCATGCATTAACGTCAAGAGGGGGGGGAACTGCCACTGCGCGCTAGAGGCCGCATGAGGCGACAGGGGACTTGATCATCTGTCGATGGGCCCTCGAATAGGTAACCTCGCTGAACAACCAGCGGGGCTGGTCACTCTCATGGTGGCACGCGCGAGATACAGGCCAGCATGAAGGCCCAAACCAAGGGGCCAACCTGCCGCGCCCTTCCCCTAAAGCCATTCCTGCTTTTTTTTCGCCAAGAACAAGGTTGCGAAACATTCGTGCATGTTTGAAGCAACATCGAAATATCGTCGGGATGCTGCACTGCGAAGGCCCATGACTCCGATACTGGAATCACAAATTGCAGCGCCCACGAACGCTGTCCGGCTTAGGGGTGGCACCCGTGTAGGGGCGATTCCGCTCCGTCAATTGATTCCTCGTTGTCCGCCTCCTCCTCATCATCATTATTCCTCCCGTTATTCTTCCCTCCTTCCTCCTTGTCCCCTTCCCGTTCCCTTTCCCGTCGTCGCCAGGAGAGAATGCCATGAGAGAGACAGCATCAGCGTGGCAGTGGCACGATGACGCGGCGGGTCAGCGCCAGCACATTGATGGGATACTCACTCTAAGCATAACGGCCCCAGCCCTGCCCAAACAAGTACGCTGTGGATGGGCGCCCTCTGCTCTGGAGCCGCGCCCCGCCCCCACTCCTCCTCCCCTAATCGCTCATTGTGCTTGCGCGCGGTTTCGCCCAATGCTTTTACTTGCCCAGAGCCGCGCGCACGCCCTCGACTACAAGTGGGTGCTCTCTGTGGCCTTCTGGGCCTCGTTTGGGACGAGCTGGGAAACGGTGAAGACGGCACGTTGCCACGGTGGTCCTGGACCTGCTCACGGGCCTATGAGAACGGCTTGCCTCCGCAATGTTCCGAGACATGGGACCTGCAATATCCGAATCTGTTCATTGTCAAAGGGCCTCGGGACATCGTGGAAGTCCGCGGAGGCCTCCAGAGTTCTGGAAGCCCTGAGGGCGCCCAGAATCAGGCGTCAAGATTTTTGAAAATATCGCCGACCTTTTTTCGGCATGCTTACGCCGACAAAGCCTTTTTGGGCCCCCCCTGCCCCCCCCCCCCCCCCGAATCCTTCCCAGAACCCAGACGAGGCCCTGAGAGACCCTCAAGAAGCTATTAGAAATCCATGAAAAATGCCGGAATATTGCCCAGCGACCTCTCAAACATAAAGCCCTTGTGTGTGCGCCGAATCGTCGGCCCCTTTATTCGCTTCTGCTCGCCGGATCGTTTATTGTGCTCCTGCACGGCTGCACGCAAGGATTGACATTGCAGGCCACCACGCGCGCGCCCCAGACAACCGGTGGGTGCCCTATGGGGCCTTCCAGGGTCCTTGTGGATCGGCTTGGGAGATCATGACGAGGGCATGTTGGCAAGGTGTTCCTGGACCTCCTCACGAGCCATGGTGAGTGGGCTGCCCGACTCCGCCATGCTCCCAGAGAGGGGTCAGGGGACATTGCGACACTGCCTCTTTCCATTGGCCCCACCGAATCCTCAAGTGCGCGGGGGCCCCCAGAAGTCTGAAGGAATTTAAGGTGCCCAAATCGGACGTCAGCATGTCTGAACAGATTGACGTCTCGTTTTCGTACTATTAAGTGCCGCCTGGGACCTCTTGGGGCCTCTTGGGGCCCTCCCGTGGACCTCCCAAATGCCCCGAAAAATATTCCGAAGCTCCTGGCAATTTCAAGGAAGCCACCAAAACGGCCCCGAGAGAGTTCGATAACCTGTCTCGCGGAAAAGCATTGTGCGCGACATGTTGTTGGGTCATTTGGGGACCACCTTGGGCCCTCCCGAAGATCCCCCAAGGTCCAGACGATGCCCTGAGAGACCCTCAAGACACTCCCAGAGAGACCCCCCGAGAGGGCCCCAAGAAGACCCTGCAGCCTTGAACCCACCAGGACCTCACGCGTGACAAGTTGTTCGGCCTTCCTGGCACCTTCCCGAAGCCCCCACGATGTCCCGCGAAAGTCCTGACAGGCCCCCCAAAGCTCCCCGAGGGGCGCCAGGATTCCACCAAGAAAACCTTTCGGGTTGTCACTTGCAGCGCCCGTGAAGGTGACGAGGCCCACGGCACCCTCGATGCCCTTAAGCGGCCCTCTTGAATGCGTTTTGTGGGCTTCATTGAAGACCTCTGGGGATCTCCTCGGAAGCTGGGGGCGGGGCTCAACCCGCACTCATTTGCAAACAAAGCCCTGCTGGAGAGAAGGCGAACCCGAAACTTTTCGAAACCTTCAGAAGGTCGTGGATCATCCCAGGTAGCCTCCGCATTCGCCCCGCCCAACACCCCTCTCGTCCTCTTCCTTCCTTCGCCGCCCCCCATTCTCCGACGCGGCATCGAAACCGAATCCGCCTGGACCTGCGGCATGCCAGAGAGACCCCTCGTCTGGGCGTGCCGGCCCATCCGCGAATCCACGCCGCGCCACCAATCCGAAGCAGAACTTTGAACCCTTCCCGCCGGACAGGAAACGCATCGGCAGGGCGGCAAGAGGATCGATCCGTATGGCCACAAAGGGAGGACGCTGGAAAACACGCAGGATGGAGCTCTATGGGACCCCACGGGGGGGGCCTGGGAGGGTGGTCGGTGGAACCCAATGGGAAGATACGTGGAGCGGCTGGGCCTGGATGGGATGGAAGGCCACGGTGATCTATAGGGGAAGTTGGGATAACGCAGGGGGGAACCCGATGAGCCCCGTGGAGGGATCCGGAAAACCGTGAAGGAGGGCCCTGTGGAGCTCCATGGGGAGGGTCAGGCTCGGAGAACACGAGAATCATTTATGCAAGCTACCGCAGAACAAATATACTGTGAACCTGCTTGCCTCCGCAACCCCTTCCCTGCCTGCAAACGGGATCGGAACCTGGCGGGGGCGCGGGAAGAACGGACGATATGAAAAATCACCGACCCCCACTCGAACCACTTCGCGTCGAAACGCCGCCGAACTGAGAGGAAGGGGGAAAAGAGGGGAGGGGGGAGTTTTCGGCGCCATCAGGCATAGCGCAATAACATCGAGCAACATGGCTGGAGGGCGCTGGGCCCTAGGAACGCGTCCAACTGAAGCCCCTCGGGGGGATCTGGGGAACGGCCCTGGGGAGAGCCCACGGGGACCTCGGGAGAAGGCCCGGCGGGCGGAGGGGAAGGCACAGGCAAGCGGCATACTGGCGAATGCACTGGCAACACTGGCGCCAAGCACGCAGATAAACTATCCACACGTGCATGCGTTTCCCGCTGGCTGTCTGCGCATTGGGGTATCTTGCGATAGCAATTGCAAGCCCCCGGCGCGACCCCGCGCCCGTCGTGCCCCGCGCCCGTCGTACCCCGTCGCACCCCTTTGCAGCCTCCCCCCCGCAGTGGATCGGCAACGGCCGTGGCTGAGGCGGCAGCGGCAACGTGCGACGGACACTGCGACGACTGATGTTTCGCCCACTCTGGTAACAAAAGTTCCTCGTTGGAGCGAGATGCACCAAAAAAACGCAACGCTAGCCCCAGGCGCCGCGCTCGATGCGCACGTGTCTGCGCAAGCTCTCATCTAAGCACCGCTCGAAAAGAAAGCCGCCAACTTCGCTGTGTTCACTTCGTCTTGCGTCGCTTTCTTGTGAACCTTGGCTGCCACCTTGCTGTTCCCCCCAGCCTTGCGCTTGCCCTTCTTGACCAGGTCGTCCTTCCACGCCAGGACCTTGGTGCGGCTGGCGGGCGACAGGCAGAACGAGAAGACGAGGAGCGGCGTGAGTTGCTGAGGGTCGCCCTTCAACTTATCGGCCGTCGCGAGGCCCTCGCAGTGCGCGAAGGCCGCCTCCGCGGCCTCCTTGCCCCGGAGAACGGCGCCAGGCGCGCCCCCGCCAGGGCTGTTCTGCGCGGGGAAGAACCACGCCAAGGACTCCTTCACATCGCGCACGAAAGGCGAGCTCTCGCCAGTCACCGCCGGCGGCTTGTCGCCCTTGATGTGCTGCACCCAGCCAATGACGTCCCGGAAGACTTTCTGCAGGCCAGCGCCGATGAACTCGAACAGCTTCCCATTCTCGAGCTTGCGGAGGGCAGTAAGGGCCTGCGCGCAGCTGAGCACGCGGTCCGCCGTCGGGAGGGCCCCGAGCGTGTTCCGACGGAAAGCCTCCTCGCCAAGGGAGCCGACGTGCATCTCGAAGATCCGGAATGTGATGCGCCAGTCCTTGTCTTCGCCATACAGTATCTTCCACTTCGACCTGAAAAGCGTCACGATGGCGGAGCCCGTCTGAACGCCACGACCCTCGACGAGGGAAGAAGCGACGCTTCGGCCATTGATGGCATCTTCAGCGACGTCCGCATCCACCTTATGCTTGAACACCTTCGTCTTGTCGGCGACGAGCAATCCGCCCTCGCAGAGCAATGGGGCCAGGACCCCCGCGTCGACGGCCGCGCCCAAGACCGCGGCCTGCCGCTTGGCCGTGAACATGTCCATGTAGCTGTTCACCGTAATGGTCATCTTCGTCTGCCTGTATGTCACGTCCGTGGCCCAAGGCTCCATGACTTCCAGGGCCTTGAACCCTGCGATCTTCAGTTTCTCCAGGAATGACTCCCGGGATCTGCGGATCGTGGCCTGCGTGATGCTGGCCCGCATCACCTGCGCGACGACCTCGTCAGCCACGGTCTCCATCTTCTCGCGCCCGAGGTTGCGGTACGCCTCCTCGTAGATGACTCGGCCTGTGTCCGACCCGCGGTAGACGCTCAAGACGGAGTCCTCAACCGTGCACCACTTCTCGTTCTTCCCCAGGCTCGTGAGCTTGTCCATGTGGGCCGCCTCCAACACCAAACTTGCGCGCGCCCTGTGCGACTTCCACCAGGCAGCTGGCCCCAAGTTCTGTCTGGAACTCTTGGTAACTCTGTGCAAATATGGTGTCGACGACGGGCCTCAACTTGGCCCGCACGTCCGGGTACTTTGCGTGGAACTGCGTACGAACGATGAACTTAATGAACTCCTGCCACAGCTCGGCATTCCGGACAGGGGCGAACGTAGGCACAGTAAACATCACTTTGCCGACAATGGCCGCGCACTTTTGATTCGGGATCTCCGGTCCATATTCAAAATACCCCTTCAGACCCTCAGTCGCCCTGGGGTCTAACACGAGGGCCGAGACAACATCTTCAAGATCATCGGGGATCGCCTCCGACCCGTTGTCGACGGCGAATGCGCCGGAGTCCTCTGTCTCGGCGAATTTCAATTTCAACTCGTCGTAGAAGCCCTTGCCCCGGGAGCCCTTCTCGCGGATGCGCGCCTCGATGTGCTGAGATACAGTTTTGCCATGGACCACTTTGGCGTACAGAATGGCGTTTGTCCACTGGGCCCCCTTGAAATTGTCGGCGATCGCCTTCTGCACGACCTTCTTCATTTTCTCATCAGCCGTCTCCCTCGGAGCTTTCGTGGGCGCGTACGCGGCCGCCGCTGAAAGGTCCAGCTTGTTCTTCGCATTGTGGACCAGATTCTCCTTGACCGCCTGGAGCTTCAGCTGGCTGGCTTTTCCTCTCGGCGTGGTGGCAGCAGCCCCCTTCCCGAACTTAGGTGACGAGGCTGGCATCGCAAGGTGTCCCCGACACTGCCAACGCACCAGCAGAGAGTACCGAATGCCGCGCTCAGCAAGCTGGCCCTCTCGAAAAAAACGGCTTTGGAGGAAGAAGGGCGAGAAGAGGAGATGTTCGAGGGCATGTCTCGTATGTACAACGATTCAGACAACATCCTGTCCCTTGAACGGCGACGCTACCTTGACCGAAGGGCAGCTTTCTCGGTGAATTTGCGGGTGGATTTTCTGGGTGGATTTTTTTTCACCCTCGGTCGGGGGAGATTCTCACCCAGACAAGCCCCATGAATTTGAAGGTGGATTTACGGGTGAACGCTCGCGTGACAGCAGTAGCGGCAGGACCAAGTGAATATCAGGAGGGATTCCCGAAACCTCGCCGGCGTTCGATACACTCTGCCGCGCAGAAAAATCCACCCGATAATTCACCTTGCACGCCGCCGCGCGCACGACCCCGACAACAGCAGAGCGCCGTCTGCTATCTTACGAGCTTTGGAACGGTTGGAGCCGGTTGGAGTCCCATTGGGGCCCTTGTTGGGACTCTCTTAGGATTCCTGAACGCCCTTGGAGAGCCCGTTTGACCGCTGCTCCCGTCGTGAAGCCGGAGTGTCCTGATCCAAACCCCGTCGTGAAGCGACGGTGTCGGGGCCCAGACCCCCGTCGCGAAGCAAGAGTGCCCCGACCGAGGGCCCCGTCGCGAAGCAAGAGTGTCCAAACCAAGGCCCAGGTCGCGAAGCAAGAGTGTCCCAACCCAGGCCGCCCGACCGTTCAGATTGCCACAAGGCCTCGCGACTGTTTAGGATTGCCACAGGGCCCCGCGACCGTTTAGATTGCTACAGGGCCCGGCGACCGTTTAGATTGCCCAACGGCCTCGGGGCCGTTGAGATGTCTCGAGGCGCTCTCGGGCTGTTTAGAGGCGCTCCCAGGTCCCATGAAGGCTTCAAGAGCGCCCCAAGAGTGCCCCAGGATGGCTCCAAGACGGCCCCTAGAGGGCTCCAATACGGCCGACAAGACGGCCCCCAGAAGGCTCCAAGACGGACTTTCCCCAGAACCCGTTGTCCACTTATTTTGGGCCGCTTCTGGGCCTCTATTGTGCCCTTTGGGGGCCCTGTTGGGCCGTCATTGGGCCGTCTTGGGGGCCTCTTGGGCCGTCTTGGTGCGATCTTGGGGGCCGCCTGGGCCGTCTTGAGCATCGAGAAGCCAAAAACGCGGGGGGCCCAAAAACGCTCAAAACCCAATGGAAAACTTAAGTTTTCCCTGATTGCGGCCCTCTTGGGAAGCCTCTTGGAGGCTTCTTCGGGCGCCTAGGAGGCCTCTTGGGCCGTCTGGGGGCTATATTGGGCGCCCTTTCGGAAGCATCGCCTGCCCTCCAGCAACTTTGCCAGAGACGGATTGCCTCCAGAAGCCGATGTCCACTTATTTTAAGCCGTTTCTGGGCCTCTAGCGTGCCCTCTCGGAGCCCAAGTGGGCCGTATGTGTGCCGTCTTGGGGGCCTCTTGGGTCGTCTTGGTGCGATCTTGGGAGCCCCCTGGGCCATCTTGGGCATCGAGAAGCCGAAAACGCGGGAGCCCAGAAAAACGCTCAAAACCCAATGGGAAACTTACGTTTTTTTTCTGATTGCGGCCCTCTTGGGAAGCCTCTTGGAGGCTTCTTCGGGCGCCTAGGAGGCCCCTTGGGCCGTCTGGGGGCTATATTGGGCGCCCTTTCGGAAGCATCGCCTGCCCTCCAGCAACTTTGCCAGAGACGGATTGCCTCCAGAAGCCGTTGTCCACTTATTTGGAGCCGTTTCTGGGCCTCTAGCGTGCCCTCTTGGAGCCCTATTGGGCCGCCATTCGGCCGTCTTGGGGGCCTCCTGGGCCGTCTTGGCGCGATCTAGGGGCCTCTTGGATTATCCACAGGGCCTCGCGACCGCTTAGATTTCCACAGGGCCCCGCGACCGTTTAGATTGCCACAGGCCCTCGCGACCGTTGAGGTTGCCAGGAGGCCTCGCGACCGTTTAGATTGCCACAAGGCCTGGCGACCGCCTAGACTGCCACAAGATTGCATGGCAAGGGAGGGAGGGAGGAGGGCAGGCGAGAGGAGGGAGGAGAGCCAAAGGGCGAGGGGGGAGGAGGATGGGGGGAGGCAAAACAGGCACGACGCATGGCAAAAACCATACACCACACCTATGGGGACACATTCCGCTCGAGAGGGGTCGCTCAAGGCGCTCTCCTGGATATCCGCTGAAAGGAGCGGAGGCCATTTTGAAGAACCCCTCTCGCGTGATATATGTCCCAACAGTTGCGGGGGTTGCTTTTTCCATGGTGGTGGCCTCAGGCCCCCCCTGGTGAAGCCAGGGCCGAAGCGGCGCCAGATGCACAGCCGGGAGGGGGGAAGGGGAAGGAGGAGGCGGGGTGTAGCCCGATGTAACCATATGCATAGATGGCAAAAACAACACGTGGAACACCCCTCTGGGACCCCATGGGGGGCTGGTCTCGGACGACACAGGGTAATCTTTAGGAACCCATGGGAAAATCGAGCCACAGTCCCTCCCCCCATCACTCCTCCCCTCCCCCCCTCCCAAGCCAACCGCGTCGACGGGGGGCGAGCATGCGTCACGAATGGCCTTGTCCTCACGGAGGGGCCCTCACAACGACAGACGCAGCCACATCAGAAACTTCGTCGAACATGCGAGGCCTGTGTACAACACGATCGGGTGCAATCGACGCTCCTGCAAGACCCCAGGGCCCCCAAAACACACATGATTATATATACACGCAAGAAGTCAAGATCAGAACTCTCGGTTTGAACTCGCCTCCTTCAGGAAGGGAGACAGGCTGACGCAGAGGGAACGAAGAGGGGGAGCAAGCGTTTTGCAGACTCTGGCACTGTGAGGCAGTGCCGTGCTCCTTCGGTATCTTGTTGTGAAATCGCTGGCCAGGCCAACACTACGGTCGCAGGCCCCTCAGGTCGACGACGCGCTGCTGCGCCCTATGAGGGGCGTGGGGCCAAACGCGGGCAACGTCGTCAGGCTCGACGCACATGGCGGCCGCTTGGGCTGACCGATCAAACCCACCGCCCTCGATCAGGTACTTGTCGTACCACCACTGCATCTTATGGCACCACGCTCTCACCAGTACCCGGGCGACGTCATGGGTGCACATGTCTATGCTGAACGTGGCCGTCCTCGGTAAGCCGAACTGAACGCAAAATTGCCGTGCATCTTGGTGGGCGGCCTGTCCTCGAAGTGAATCGAACGGGACGCCAACGTGCGCTTGCGTCCAGAGGCCGCCGCGCACTGTCCAGGTGAAGTCTACCATGCTCGCATCGCCGTCCAGCGGCGCGAACTCTTCCCTCGCCCGGTCAAGAGCGTCCATGACAGCCTCGGCGTCTACCTCGTGGAGATCCCCCCCGCGCCCGGCATCGGGCTGCCCCGCCATCCGCTGGAACTTCTCCGGATCATCCAGCCAGTCCGCCAGCCAAGGGCAATCCGCGTACCTGAGATCCAGGCCACCCCCATCACCTCCCTCGGAAGCCTCCTCCTCGCCATCGTCGTCGCCAGCAGCGTCATGGGCAACCGAGACGGGGCGGAGGTGCTGGGTGAGCTCGTCGACCGACTTCCAACGCGCGTTGGACGCGACGTAGCCGTGGCCAATGTTCACGCAGGGGGCGAGGACGGAAAGGTCTCCGACAAGAGGCCATTCATCAGAGAACATGAACTCTTCCCCGGGCTTCGCAAACCAGCGCGCCCAGAACATGCCCCAGCATGGATCACCAAGGCGCGAGACATCGGTGACAGGCTTCGAGCAATGCACGAGCTCGGTGAATCCGCACACGATGGGGTTCTGAGACGCCATGTTCAACTGCAGGTACCTCTCGCAACCGTTCTCGTCCGAAGTACGGCAAACGCACGCGTTGAAGAACTCCCGATTGTACGCAACCAAGCGGTCCCACTGCTGCCGCCCCCGCTTGAAGGCAGGGGCGGGGTTGCGCATGTCTTTCAGTGCGCTCAGCATCGCTGGCGGCAACGGCTTAGGCGCCGAGCGGAGCTCCCTCCGGTGGTGCACGTCCGCCATGGGCAAACGGGAGGACGCGGACTCGGACTCTAACTCGTCGCGCTCCGTACTGGACAAGATGCATGATGAGACCCGCAGCGGCCCCAGGCGCGTCTGCTCGTCGCGCTCCGTCGTCAGCGCGCGGATCTCGTCGGCCAGGCTCTTTTGCTGATCCCGGAGCTGCGCCCACATGCCTGGGCGAGCTCTCTGTGCCTCATGCTCAAGACGCCGCCTCTGGGCAGGGTCCAACTTGGCCCATCGATCCCCGTGTTTCTCCATGATCGCGCCGCTGGCATTCGGGCCGACGTCCCGACCTTCATCCCGCTGCCGCCCAACCTCGCCATTCAGCTGCTTGAAGTACATCTGCCGCCCTGCGAAACAATTCGGGTTGTGATGATCCAACGCATCAGCCTTCCTCTTGAGGCGGGCAATGCGGGCATCGATCGACTGATCCCCGAGAAGAGGCCGAAACTGAACGATTGAGGAACGCGCCATGGCCACGTTCGCCTCGGTGTTCCTGTGCATGCGCATGGGGCCCGCTATGCTGACGTGCCCCTGCTCGGTGACGTTGGATGTCCAACCAGCTCGGTCCACGGCTGCGAGCAACTCCAAGTAGTGCGCTGCCTGCATGCCCCCGCACACCAACCCGTCCCAGATGCGTCCAGAATTGTCCTCGTCGGGTCGCGCGCCTCTCGTCAGCTCCTCCAGGTTCCTGACGCGGTCCCCCTGCAGCAACGTGTACGGCAAGCGCCGGGCTTCGCGGAATCGGCTGTTCATGTGCGATGCAGCAGCCCATGCCGCGGAGATGGCGCAATTGCGCGCGTCGCCCACTTGCAGGCCAGCGCACGCCGAGAGCGCCTGCCACACTGGAAAAGAGATATTCTCCAGCCGACCGATGGCATTAGCAATCTCCGCATCGATGGTCGTCAGCATCTTCGGCAAACGGTCGTCCTTGGCGAGGAGTAGGAGCACTTTGTCCGAACACGGCGACGCAGTTGCAACGACCATGCACATTCGCAGCACTTGCGGTGATATGTGCTTGAAGAAGCCTCCTATATGGTATTTGCTCGCCTTGGTTCTCGTGCAGATGTAGTGCACCAAACTCTGTAAACCGACAAGCTGGCAACCAATCAGAGTGCGCCCACTGGACCCTATAGTTGCCCACCTGCTGTCTGTCCACGTCTTGAACCTCCACACTTTGACTGCAAAGGTCTTCACGAACTGAAGGACGTCGAAGTGCTGGAAGCGAGTTGCTATTCGGAGATGTCCGTCGTGGTATCGAATCCGGAGAAGCACTGCCAATTCCAACCACTCCTTCTCGAGCCCCAGGAGACTCCACGTATCCCTGCATACGTCCTGGTCCCAATCCTCGTACATGACAACAGAATCGAACCACGCGTCGAAATGTGCGTGCAAAAGCTCGGTTGAGTTCTTGAGCGACTCGAAGCAAATCCATGCGCTACGCATTATTAGCGGGTCATTGATGCACTCTGATATGCTACTCTTAAACGCATTGTGGCACACGTGGGACATGTCAGAATGGAACAACCACAAGCGCACGCACCTGCGCTGGAACGCAACGTGTTCTTCCAGATCTTCCCCCTCACTGATCTCAAGCGCCCGGGCTAGCTGCTGGATGCGCCTCGCCATTCCGGATTTGATGGCGCCGTCGAAAACGAAAGCGTGCACTGCGCCCCCGACGTGGCCAACCTCCGAAGGTAAACGGACGAAGCGCCTCAAACAAGCAAGGTGCGTATCCGCGCAAGTGTCATGTATCGCAGTGGGCTCCGTCATGAAATAAGCGACCTCGCTGCCAGCAGCGGCAAACGCTTTCTCTATCAAGAAATGGTTTGCAACTTTCGGTTTCCTGACCACTTGCCAGATGGTGATGCCCGAGCACACGCGTTTTCGTGTAATCACGGGAGTGCTGTCGGAGCTGTAATAGAATAGCCAACAATCGTTCGCATGCTTTCGGAAGAAATTGCCCCACCTGTTTGCGATGAAGTCCCGGACTATCTCTGCGCAGCGCAGAGCCTGATCCGCATCAGAACCTGTCAAACATGCCCCAAACTTAGCGTAAGAGCGGATCCGTTCAGCGAACATGGCTGGTCAACGGTCTAAGCCCACATGGCTACGGACATAAAGTGTGACCCCGAGACCGTAGGGCGAACCGTCATGGAACCCCATGGGGAAAGGCTGGGCAACGACAGTGTAAACCCCTTTGGGCCCCTCTTTGGAGAGAGGTGGGGGACCGAAAGATGAAGCCTTATGGAGCCCTTGAGGGGCTGGGAAACTGCAAAAGAAAACCGCGAGGAACCCCGCGGGAGGGGGCCACAAGGCCGGTGGACAGAGCCCCGCGGGGACTCATGGAGGAAGGCTGGATACCGCGGGAGAGAGGCCTATGGAGCCCTATGGGGGGGAGACTCGGGAACCGCAGGAGGGGGCCCCGGAAGCCCGACGGGGGGGATGGGGAACCAACGAAACACGACCCCCAACGCGACGCCCTTATAGACCCTACGAGGGCAGAGTGGGGCCCGGGGGCAATAAGTTATAGGCCTGCGGAGCCCTGTGGCGGGTGGCAGCGGCGGCGACGGTGAGGCGGCGACCGCCAAGGCGACGACGAGGGCGGTGATGACGATGACGGCAACGACGACGTCGCGGCCGCTGAAACGACACACGCTGAAACGGCACCCCAGCAGAGCGTGACTGTTCGGACTCCGCGGGGCCCGCGAAACGAGGCCAGCGCAGTTGGAAGGAGGGGCGCGGGGAGAGAATTAAAGGAGGCGAGGGGGGCATGACGACGACGACGATGAGGAGGAAGATGGGAGCAAGGATGAGGAGGCAGAGTCGATGGAGGATTTGCAATGGACAAGGCGGGCGCGAACGCGCCATAGATGAAATGTCCGCAGCGCCCGTTGCACGTTGAAACGGCTTGGATTTCATAGCTGCCATGGGCCGCCATTCCTCGTGGTGGAAGCGCGGCTGGCGCGCGTCGCTTGGAAAGCCCACACTCAGGCTGTTAAGGGCAGGTTGCGCTGAGGATACCCCCGCCGCGCGCGGTATCCAGTCGGTCGGCAGGGCCTACAGGCCTTGTTCGGCGCATGTCGCTGACCTGATCGGCCCAGCATTGCTGGCGCCAAGGGGAAAGCGCCAATCTCGTCAACGCCATCGCGCGCGCTGGGACAACGCGCGAGAAAAACCAAAGAGCGTTTTTTTCATCCTGGCAGTTCGCATAGGTGATCATGACCTTCCTGTCGTCGAGGGCGGCGCAGTAGCGGCACCAACCCAGCCGCTGCGGGGGCACCCAATAAGATCCCGTGCAAAACACCCAACCCTGGGCCTCGTAGTCCCCCCGCGCGAGCGCCTCCGCGCTCGCGAGAGCGTCAGGGTCCCCCACCGACTTCGTCGGTGGCTGACCGTGCAACGTCTGGCATCTGTCCCGCTGGCGCCCGTCGGCGGCTGGCCGCGCAACGTCGGATCCCGTCCTTCCGCGCAAGGGACAAGGACCGACTCCGACGGCGGTTCCGCTTGGAAGCCCGCCCCGTCGCGCCCGTGGCGGCCGCGCTCGGCGCGTTGCTGCCCGCCTCGCTGCCCTCCAAGCTCGCCTCCGACCATCCTCGCAACGCTGGCTGCGTCTCGCCGGCGTCCGCGGCGCTGGGCGCGCCCCCTGAGTCGCCGCGGGCTCGCGGCCTGCTTCGCGGGCGCGGGGGGCCCCGCGCGCGAGCAGGACACGAAACGATCACGATGCACAAAATGTAGAAACATCGGCGGCAGCAAGCAAGGCAGCGCTGCAAAGGCCCTCATCGACGAGCGACGCATGAGAAAGGGGGCGGGCGGGGGCGGGGACGGAACCTAATCAATGCCGGACGCGCGGGGCGGCCCCAGCGTCAGGCATGACGTCCTCTGTGGCAAGAGCAATTTGTTCGGCAACCTGGCCCTGCAGGGCCCGGGCGACTGAGGAGCGAAGGGAACGCCTGGCAGCGTTGCGCTCGGCCTCAGGCAGATCGCCGAGCACGCGCCGAAGCCAAGTCTCGGCCTCGGCGCCCCATGTGCCATCGATGTCAAGGACGTTGGGCACGAGCCCCTGAAATGGGCATCTGCGGTGCTTCACTTTCTCCCTGCGCTGCAGGGCCGCCTGATATGGCCGGCCGGTCTGCGCGGCCGTCAGGGGCCCACCGAGCTGATGTCGAAGCAGACGCGCCCGTGCAGGCCGTGGTGGTGCACGACGCCCAGCGCGGCCGCACCGTCCGCCTCCGCGTGCCACTCCGGGATGACCTGCTCCACCTGTGCGTGGTGGCCCATCTCGCGCAGCCAGAGCGCCGCGGCGGCGGCGCCGCGCGGGGCCGCCGCCCCTGGGGCAGTTCAACGCGCGCGCGCAGTGGACATCCATGGCGCGCCCGCAAACGGGGCCCTCCCGCGCCGGCGCGCGGGCGGGCGCTGCCGCCCGTTCGGGCACGCGCCCGCCGCGAGCAGCAGGGGCAGGTGCATGCGCCGCTTAGCCGCGACGCAGAACGCATGGTCGGCGAGAGGCGAGAACCCCTCGAAGTTCTCCAACCACGCGCCCGCAGAGGGGCCAGATGCACCGCGCGCCGCCGCCGCCGCCGCCGGGGGCAGGGTGGTCAGGAAAGTCCTGGTAGCGCGGCCGCGCACCCGCCCGCGTCTTTTGGTCCGTGCCCGCGCGGCCTTCCACTTGGCGCTGATTCAAAGGAGTGCGCTTCCAGTGCGCTTCGTCATTGCGCGTGCTGAATAGAGTTTCGAGGTTTGATTCCCCCCCCCTACCCCCCTGGGGCGGGCTTTTCCTCCCTGCCTCGTTCTCTGCTTGATTCGTTATTCTACTTCGTAGTCGTGGAGCGCTTCCTTTTTCTGCTTCGCGATCGCGGGGCGCCTCGCTGTTCTGCTTCACAGTCGTGCTGCGCCCTGTTTTCACCGCCCGCCGCCGCGCGGATGCTACCCTCAAGTTGATTGCTGGTTGCTGCTGATAGGGTGTGTCGGCCCATTCGATATCGCATGCTTCCGGGAAGCTCGCGAGAATTTCTGCCTGGCGCCCCCTTTTCACGAGGGGTTTAACGGAGACGCGATAGCTTGCACCACATATTCGTGTCCACTGTTTATGACGACCTGTTTGCGCAGTGCTTCTGAAGACATGTTTGCCCAGCGCGAGTCCGGCTCCAGGGCCATTGCAGATTTTCGAGGCCGCGCCTTTGAACCCCGCTCTGAGTGCCACGTGTTCCACCCCTCCCTCCCTTTCTCTGCCCTGCATACCCTGTCTCGGCAAGATGAGCTTCGATCCAATGTTTGTCACAATTCCGTGCGATGCCGACAGTTGTCGCTCGAGGGTGCCATTTGCACATCAAGTCCCTCGTCTTCCTCTTCCCCCTCCTTCTCCCCCCCCCCCCCTTCCTCTCCTCCTTCCCCCGCGTAGGGTTGACATGCATAACGCAAGGGCCGTTGACCGAATGCTTGCCCCGACGGCTGCTCACGAAATGTTTGCCCCTGCGCGTGTACCGTATGCTTTCATCGCGTGGTAGGCTGAGCGAGCTGGGGGGTCCATCGCGCTGTCCGCCCCCATCTTCCCCCGCCAAAAATGCCAAGCGCGAGTGCCCCTACGCGCTGACTGCTGCCCCGTCGTCGTCGTCGTCGTCAAGGTCGTCGTCGTCGTCGTCGTCGTCCGCCCCCGTCGGCCAGAACCCGATTGAAATGGGCCCCCGGAACCCTCCCGGGGTCCGAGCGCACAAGTTTTCCGCGCCGCGTCCGGCCGCGACGAGGAGAGCCGCCAGGGGCCAGAGGATCTCGATCCTCGAGGCTTGAGGCTCGAACCTGGACGTCGGTGGCCGTTCGGGATGACTCCGGCACCCCCGGGACGCAGTTTGTCGGTCCCGATCGATTTCTGGCGGCCCTGGGTCCCGAAAGTGGCTCCCGCAGGCTACGACGCCGGAAGCCCGCCTCGAACTTCGAACCTCAGGGGTCGACGAAAATAGCTGGCGTCATCGGAGACGCGGCCATCTCGTCCGCCACAGCGGCGGCAGCCCAACTCCACGGGTTTCAGGCGGTGGGCGTGAGCGCGGCCCCCCCGAGCTCAGCCCACGCGCCGCTTCCGCGCGGGCGTCTTCGTAAGATTTGGGCGTCTTCGGCGCCGGGAACGGAAGGGGAGTTTCGAATCTCGAGGATCGAAGTTCGACGAGCTTTTTGTCGTTTTACGCCTCTGGAAGCCGCTTTCGGGCCCCGGGATCGTCGAAAATCGATCCATGGTGAAAAACTGCTTCGGAGGGACCCTGGGAAGGGCCCGGGGGCCGATTTTAATTCGATTTCGGTCATCCTGGGAGGAGGAGGGGGAGGGCGACGACGAGGGCGAGGAGGACGAGGAGGACGAGGAGGGCGAGGGTTGGACATGACTGGGCGCTCCCGTAAGTTGACCCGGTTCGTTCGAATGTGTTTCGCAAATATTATTGGGAATCTCGTTCAAAGTAAACTCCGACCTCCCACCCCTCCAGCCTCCGCCGCAGCCGCCCGAAGACAAATAATTTCAAATTGCGGCCGTGCCCCCAAATTTGAAGCATGCCCCTTTGCGTTGCCCGGGGCCCCCCAGGAATCCCAGGGGCCCCGACGGATTCTGTTGGTTTGTGGAGGATTCCTCGAACCTTCCATCCTGGAGGATTCATTCCTGGGCGCTCTCTTGGAGCCGTTTCCAATCAGCGGATGGCGCACCAACCGACGCGCATACGTGCGCGCGTGGCGCGTGCTCACTACTGTGTTGACCGCGCTTGAACAGTCGCCATGCTGGCCTGGAGACTCAAGTGAGCCCTGAGCGGTGACCGATTGGATGTTGAACTTAACAGTGGTTCACCACCTATGAGCGAATTGGCATAACCAACGACGCGCGTGTGCGCGCGCGTGCTCAGCTGTATTGACCGCAATGGACCACTCGCCATGTAGGCCTGGAAATTCAAATGAGCCCTCAGCGGTGACCGATTGGATTTTGAAGTGATGATGGGTTCACCACCTATCTGTGCATTGGC